ACGAACTCGGCATAATAAACTCTGGAAAAGCACTTCAAGATCTCTACTGAACCTCACCAAAGTTATCATTGGTACTCGAAAGAAGACTGTTTATATTGAGAATTATCGCTCCGCAGTTAAAATAAAAATACTGCATATCTGCAACGCTTCAAACGATCACAATGCGTGCCGAAAAGTTTGCTAGCAACGAAAAAGCTGAATTGGAAGATAATGAAACTAAATCTCCAAACGATGACGATGATATAGACTTTCCATCACCCACGTATGACAAAGTTCGAATACTATAGAGGAGAAATTAGAGAGCCACCAGGCTGAGCTATTTAAATACGAATGCGTACGCGACATTGCAAAATATGATCGGAAGCGAACAATTGACACCAGGCGGTTCTCTGCCTTAACTGTTTGGGGGGAGCCTCACACCCGGTGCAAATCATCATAGGAACATCATCCCATCTAGCGTATTGTGCAATATTGAGCACATCGTCAGCGAACTGTTCCGATCATTTCCATGCGGTTTCAGATCTAGTCAATCCACCGTTGACTAGATACTGACTTTGAGTAACATCTCGAAGAAGACCCCTACACTTGTAATTTGATTTATTAGATGCGATTTTATAGTCAGTCAGTAGTTTTCGTAAAGACTATTTATTAGTATGCCTTTCATCAACACGAACTGGTTACCAGAACCGTCGATATAGGTAGACTATGTCTTAAATTCCCTAACAACAATTTTTTTCATATATGAGACTTGTTATCGAAAATTTGTCAAAAAAGCAGCTGCGGGCGTGAATTTCAATTTACACAAAACTTCAAAAAAATATTGGAAAATATTGATCGTTTTCATGAAAGGTACAAAAGCTTCGCCAAGGACGAAGACAGACAGCACTTCTTTCTGAAGTTCTGGGTTTGCCATGTCCGTCGGATTGTCAAAGAGCTTCTGAGAGCGAGAAATTCGGAGTTCTGTACAAATATCGGACGACAACACATATCTCCCATACTTATTTGTTCAGAAATGAGTCCTTGATCAGAACCCCGTCAGAAAAACGTCCAAAAGTACAAAATTATTACATATATACAAATTAACGATTAAATTAAATCGAAATCGATGGTCTATATCGTACAGCACCGATCCAGCCAATCATTCATAAGATTCAAATTTCATCCTAAAAAAAAAAACCTTAAATTTGCCATGGTCATGAAAGGTATAAAGACTTCGGCACGGCAGGGAAGAGGGGTCTTTTTTTCTTGTTTCACATTCAAATGACTTTTCTAAATAATTTTTAGAACGGTATTTCACATAATAAAATAGCAATATTTTCAGCAATTTCCCATTTCACTTTTGCGTGCACAGAATACGCTCATGTGAAGCTGACAAATAAACAAGAATGCAATAAAATTATTTTTCTGTGTATTTTCGTTGCACTCGCTTTTCAAAAATAAGTATTACATATGTACATCATTTTTTTTCTTTTTTCTCATTTTTCTTCTTTTCTTTCTCAAATGCTTGAGTAATGATGGATAAATGTTCATATGTCTTCGCCACGGCCGCAGAAGCGAAAGACCGGCAGCTACACATGTATGTACATACATATGAAACACATGTAATCCCAATATACATATATGTATAATGAGCAATATTGCAACAACAAAAACAAATATGTGCATGAGCAATAAGCACAGGTGCCAAATGCTGCACAAAGACTTTCTTTTCTTTCGACAAAAACATGTTCTCTGTGCTTGTAGAAGCGTCAAGAAAACATTTCTAATTTTATTTCACAATTTTTTTTATTTAAAAATACACACAAAATTAGGCAACAAACAATTTCAAAGTCAAAATTGCATTTTTATTTTTCTAATTTTGAAAATTAAACACACAGTAAGCCCCAAAAGACACAAATAAAAATTTCTTTCCTCCTCAAGTCTTGAGTAGCAAATCGGCTGATAGATCACCATTATCTGCTACATACATATGTATGTATTTATGTATCATATGCTGATGTGCCCACCTAAAAGAAATGAATGAAAATTCGGTTGATCATTCTTTGGGTTGATCATCGCATTGTGGGCTTCACTTTGTAAACAACGAAACAAACAAACATTGGCGATGACGCAGACGCAACAATAAACACGAGCGTGACACGATAATGGAATGAAAATGCCGCGGAGGTGGCTAACGAAGCAAACATATGCAAAATTTGAAAATCATTAAAAAAGTTTTACATTCCATGGAGACTGCATTGATGTTTGCCATCTGCTTTGTATCGCCCACTCAAGATGAAAGAAATCTTAAGCCTGCTAAAGTATTCTTTTTTATGAAAGAAGAAATCGCTTTGAATGCAATTGTTGTGCAATGTTGCACTTTTTCACTGCCTCAGCAGACCTAAAAAAATGCGCCATTCCTTTCTTCTTTACGCCTTTTAGCGCTAATTGGAAATACCAAGCGCAGCCAGGTTCTTCTCCACCTGATCTCTTCAATACATTGAAGGCCCTTCTCTTTACCTGCTTCCAACGGCGAGTAGTACAACGAAAACTTTAAAATCTGCAGCATTCTAATCCCTTCGGACCACATGTCCTAGCCAGCCGTTCGCGCTTCATAACCGTTAAAGCGGTTACTGCAATCGCTTGCAATCGCTTGCAATACCTCAGGTCTACACAACCTTGGTCTGGATACTGTAGCAGATTAAACTCCTACATATCCAAACTCGACTCCAACATACACAACGTATACCCTGCAAGTGGAGAGTCTCCGCACGACTAATCACCTTTTCATATGCCCTTTAAAGCCGAGGCATCTAACCCCCTCTTCCTCTGCTGCGACCCTTTTGGAACGTTGTGCATGCAGATGTACATAAATATATTTATATAACTCAATGTTCTTTGGGGTAAGATGGAATCCCAAGCACAAAAGAATAACTTCATCGACTGAAAAAATTCTTCGTAAATGTCTAGCTTCGTATAGCCTTTCAGATAATTTGTTTTCCCTTGTCCTTTGTTCTGTCACGTTTATAAGTCCCTCAACAGCCGAGCTATAGTCTACTACTCGACAAAACTCTCAGTGCTTGTCTTATAAAAGAGATGAGGGGCTAGTTCTCAGGTCGATATTATACCCCTCACCAACTTTTATGAATCTGAATTCATATAAAAAAGGATAACTGTGACTCTCTGAAAGTTAAAAGATTCTTCCATCTTGTCATAAAGGAGGTGATGTATAGCGTTCGTCAAGCCCGGGGTTAGGTCTATCTATATATGTGAAGATCACAGATACACAGAAGCTGTCGAATCAACTATATAGAGAGAGAGGTGAGATATTCTTCAAGTATCCCTGAAAGCAACGTAATGTACCAAAAGGTGGTTCGTGGGACTGTCGAAGTAAATGCAGATTTCGTTGGCTGAAATAGCATGCCGGAGCGGTAGAATTACTGTCTGCTTGATTAGTGCCAACTTATCTTGAAAAACGTGATGCTGAAATCCAACGCAAAATCACCCTTGCCAGCCAACATGTGGCTATTTTGATTGAGTATGGAATGGGAAAGTAAGGTTCTCTCTCGACAAATGAAAACTAAACTCATAAGTAACTCATAATTCTCGTAATACTATAATGTATAGACCTTGCCATCATCCTCTGAGTTGAATTTGGAAGGCGAGAGAAAGATTCTTGGTTATCTGCGTATGAGCGATGGCATATACCGCAGATCGGATTGATGAGCCGAGGCGATGAAAGTACTATAAAAGTAATCGATGCACAGCAAGAGGAAAATCTCTACCCCGGTGGAAAGATCAGATGGGAGAAAGGTCTGCTTTCCTTTGGCGTTTCCAGTTGACAGCGAACGGTTGAAAGAAGAAACGACCAACTCGATATTGTTAATTCGGATATAATCGAGTAAGCTTACACCATGGAAGAAGAAGAAATTTAGGAAGTTGATTTTTATTCAGAAAACTAGAGCGACCTTTGTATCTAGCCCTAACTCATGTGTGTTACTTATAACTTGTTTCCAGATGCCACTATCAACCCAATCATTTTTAGAAGGAATAAATGTGATGAAGGGCTCATTTGCACCTAACTGTGGGAGTGACTTATATGTTTGGGTATGAAGTCGAGACACTGCAGAAGTGACTGACAGTGTTGGGACAGTTCCGCTTAACGCGTTATACCGACTTAGTTCATGCTCTATCTAGCGCCATCTAGTATGCTTTAATGACTCTAGAAATTTTTGTACGAAAATGAGGAGCGCAAAGTCAACCATTTTTTGATTTTTGATATAAAATTTCAAAACGCTGTGGCGTTGAAATAAAAAAAGAGAAATTTAAATAAATATGTTTCATCTCGGAATGTGTTAAATGTTTCTAGACATTAATACCCCTCGGTAATCGCCGAATAAAGTGAAGGGACCTTTCACAGATGAGGGAAAGTAAGATTTCTGGTTGTGGTTTTAAATTGTAAAAATGAGGAACAAAGGCATGCTGCTAGGAGATTCACAGAATCTCTGCCTTCGTCGAGATGAGTTTTGCGAAGATTTTTCATGACGGCATACACAGAGAAATCTGCCAGCCGTGGGGAAAAGGAATATAGAAGAACAGTCTCCTCTTATTATTACTAAATTTTTCCCAGTTAGGAAACTTTTGTTCGAACCAGCGAAGAAGCTTTCTAGAGATCTTTAGTGGTTTTAGAACGGACCCGCTGGTGTCAATGAGCTAATAAATATCCTGAAGATTCAATCCCAGCATTCAAATGACTATTGACTATTGTTATATTGACATATTGAAGAGTGCGGGGCACAGAAAACCCTTCCAACGAAGGACTTTGCGTTAAAACGATCGAAAACCTGAAGGTCTATTTTATCATATGAAAAACGGAAACTCAAAAGTTTTTAAGACGATAACTACAAACGAAAGATATATATATATAAATACTTGTTTTTAATAGCTAACTAAAAATTTTAAAATAATTATGAGAAAAATATTTGGAAAAAATTTGAGAAACTCTGTTCTTAAGCACTCACCTTCGTTCACATAGCCGCCCTCCATCGTGCCAAACGTGTACAACTTGTTGCCACGAATTTTGTTGTTGTTATTGTAGTTTTACCAAAACTGCTGGTGAATGTCGTCGAATTAATTTTTTTCTTTTTTTCTTGTATTTATTTTTTCGTTAATCTTCAAATATTTTTCTTTAAAGCAAATTTGATTGTTTTCACAATGCCCTTTAAGAAAGAATAACAGCAACAAATTGAGTATGTTTTTTCCGGCTGTTGCTGTTTGTTGTTTGCTTTTCCACACTTTCAACACACACTCAGCAGCACTCAGTTGCCACTTGTATTTTGGAGAATTCTTTAAGTACTCAATGATTTCCACAAATGTGCATTTTTCTTGCAAGAAGATTTTTGGGGAAAAAGACTTGAATGAAGGAGCATCAGTTTTTTATTTGAAGTTGTATGCGCTTATGTCGTGTATGTACATATGTAGCAGTGTGCAAGTAAAGCTCTCGCTTCTACACTCTTTCCCTTACTTTCCCCCCGCCGTACGGTGTTTGAATGTGGACAGCTCTAAAATAGTCACAAAGTGGCACACTTCAGATCCAATTCGATCGATGGCGACAACGAAAAAGAGTTCATTTCATTTGCATTTCACAATCACACACTTTGCTGCTTTACTACTCTGCGCCGCTCACTTGAGAATGCACTAAAAATAGGGACAATAAAATGAAATAAAAAACTATATTTGAATTGTGTAGATGGAATAAAAAAAAAAAGAGTTCGACATAAAGCGGCAAATAATCGTATTGCGGGTTGGGAAGTGAGCCCCCCAACATTGCAGCTGCACTGCATCTAAGCACAACAATTGCCTGCACACGCTAGATTCATCAATAGCGCCGATGTGGAACAAGCTAACGCGGCTTCTATAGCGGGCAGCAGTCAGTCAGTTGCTTTCATTTCATTGCTCTGTCCGCTGCTGTAAATGTTGGGGGGCACACTTGTGGGCGTCGCGATTTGCATATTCGCTGGGAAAGTGTGCAATCGCCAGTGCGAGAGATAAATTGATTGGCTTGAATCAAAAGCTACACACATATCGGCATGTAGCGGCTTGTTTTGGGCATTCGAACATCTGGTGGCGGTGTGTTGCTGTAATTGTTGGTGTGTGCGGTGCGGCTACAGATTTTTCCAATTTTTTTTTTTTTAATTTTTTTTGAATTTCTTCTGTCTTATAGTCGTTTTTTATAATAAGTTATTCAACACTTATTAAAGTCTGTAAGAGCATTTAATAGCACGGTGAATGGACTGTTTGAAATTAATGCATATTTAATGGCATGGGTACATACAAGTATATTTATATATACATATAAACACTAAACATGTATAACGTTTTTCAAAGTCATGTTTTTTTTTATATAAAAACTATTGTATATATGCATTTTTTTCCTTTTATACCTCTGTACGGCTGATTTAAATTTTTAATTTGCCTTTATTTTGCTTATTTATTTTAAAATATGTTTTTACCAAATTCTTTGCAAAGTTTTGCGAAATTTTTATTTTTTTGAAAAATGTTGTTTAATACAATAAAATTTGTTTTTAATTTTAGGAAGAACACAAAGAAAATTCCACGGAAAACCTGTAAAGAAAAAAGAGAGAAATTAAATTTAATTTTAAGTTTTATTTTTTATTTTTTTTAAATATAAATTAATCTATGTATATTATAATATGTATTTAAAGGGTTTTCCATTATAGGTGTTATTTTGAATAGCTCGGTAAATGTCACTTTTGAAGCTGTATTTTGTAAAATTTAACAACTAAAGACTAAGCCAATAATAAAAATGGGATACCCGATACCCGCCTCAACAACGCATCGAAATAATTAAAATTCGCTATAAAAATGTCATCGAATAATCATCTTGACTGATGAGGTCCATTTCCAACCTCGATAGCTACGTCAATAAGCAAAACTGTCGCATCTGGAGCGCAGAAAATGCAAGATTTATTGTTTGAACAGCCTCTCCATCCACAACGTTTAACTGTTTGGTGCGGTTTCTGACTCAGCGGGTTATTTTTTCGAAAAAGAATGAAATGCGCTATCGATTGAATATCAAAATAACACCAATAAACCAGTGATGGCAGAGATCTGAAGCATCGAATTTGTTTTCAAATTCTACGCTTAACATAAAATTCGGTGCAAACGTTGCTCTTTGCCCAGTTGACATGGAAACAATTTTTTCTTCCGTAAAGTGGGCCAGGGATCTGTATGAAACATTTTCAATCGCTTAATTTGCAAAAAAATTTGTACCGATGTAGGTTTTTCCCTCAATTAACACCGACAACACTTATTCTTATCTTATTCTTCCGGCAAGTGGATATGTCAATTCGATTGGTCCGATTTTGTTTAATGCATGGAAAATTTATAGGTGACTATTTGTCAAGGTTAATGTGTTTTATTAAATCTTTATTACAGTTTACTCGGGACTGATCTGTTTGGGAAAAGCATAATTCATGTTAGATTTTCTTACTTTTGAACTATAGACCTTTGCCTGGATTAACATATTAAAAGTATTATTTTAAACAAGTTTACCTTGGACCGATCTACTCGCAAACATCGTATCAAAACTGAAATTGTCTTATTTACTACGAGGTATACAATCCGCTCTTAGGCCACCTCTACTAAACGGTATAGAGGTTGCCCTCTTTACCGAAGTCAATAATCTTAGAGAATCTTAGATAGCAAACTCAAATGGAGCCAGAACAGAGCAAGTAGGTCGAGGGAAAAACGGCTATAGGAAAAAGATGTGGTCTTAAATCAAATAGTGTGCACTGATTTTATAAAATGATATTAAAACCAATATAATTCTACGATGTGACCTTACGGTGGCCGGTACTCGAGAATATTACTCATTATACATGGACTCCCTCAAAAGCACTGCTACCTCTCAATTCTCAACTTCATTCTACAAGTACTGCAAATCGCAAGAAAACTGTACTCAATCAGATTGGAGAAATTGCTGAATAGAACACGCTAAAATATTTGTTATCTCTCTCAGAAGTGCAGAACGAGAACGAGTGCAGGAATACACCTCCGCCAGTATGTACTTCGACAATCTTTGGCACAAAAATCTCAAACAGAAACAATTGCAAAAACACAAACACACTCCATAGCCAGTCATAATCATAGTCATAGCCAACAGACAACTCGAAATTCAATGAAAAAATGGGCTGTGAAATGCATTCTCCTATGCTTTCAATAAATATTATCATGAGACTATCACACCATTGTAGCATTATACAACAGAACTCTTTGCAAACATTGGAAGTCGTCGAGTGGCTGCTAAAATCTACTTGGTAGCAGAAGAATCATTTAAGGTATATTCCGACAGTAAGCTGCCATCTCTGGCAATTGCACGGCAGCTAAGCTTGGAAAAGAAGGAACCCTTCCATCTGCAATAAACAATGCACACGATGCAGAGGTGCCTTTGTCCACAGCAGAATATATTTTAAAGCTGGTCTTGGGGAAAAAAGCAAGCACTAGATGGCTGAATGACATCACGTGCAACGTGACCAAGCATTGAGGCCTCGAAAAGATCTAGAAATCTTATTATTCTGGACCGGTTCACTATTAGCACAACGACTGGTGTAGTAAAAGGTCATTGTTTAATGGGGCTCCACGGGAAAGTAATGGACTATCACCTTACGCATAGAATAGACTTATTGTGCTCCACGGCTCAGCGCAGCTATACTTTTGCAAACATTTCATTCGATTCCACTTTACCTAGCATTCTACATTCGTGTGATTTAGAGCCCAAGAGATATGTACCGCTCTATTATGTTACGCGTTTGAACTATGCTTTGGACTATGCGTTGACACACTTAATTATCGCTGGGCGTGTAGCAGAAATCTAATATCTCTAAATTGGTAGACAAAGGTGAAGGCATTGAGTTTGTAGCTGTGTATTGTCCATTATGGTGGTCATAGAAGAACCCTGCTCTTGTTCCTGCAGCACATATAGAGCCAACAGTATAAATATGGAGTTCTTGACTGTTTAAGTTGGGCCTACCTTTCGGGTATTTTTTCCTGGCAGGAAAGGAGTAAGTGGCATCTACCCGGCAAAAGGTTTCACTTTCTCGATCGCATTTCACATCTAGCTCGATTTCTGATATGATTTGCTTTATTAGATAATTTTATTATTTATTAAAAAAAATAAATATTTGTTTTCTATATTTTTGTTGTAGGCTTATGATAAATCCAATTTCGGTTTTCATGTTAAAAATAATTTCTTTAAAAATTTGGTAACAACGTATGAATATTGACATAAAATTAAAAAATATTCTATAGAAAATAAAAATACGATGCATTTTTAGCAATCTAAATTCATCTTATAGATGAGCCCAAGAAAATTCCAAGAAATTTAAAAAGGAGCATCTCTTGTGCACTTAAATATCTCAAATATCTACCATCATCCGCTCTGCATTCCCCAAAAGTTCACATCACCGCAAGTGTCTTACACGAGTAAAATACATTTCGGTTCTTTTGCGCATTTCTCATCCTCACTATGCCCCATTTAATAGATATTGTTTTCGCGCATCTCATAATTCAGTGAAGAAAATAAAAAAACTGACGCATTTTCTAAATAAATGCAAAGACAAAATAGTTCTGCCTTGATAACAAACACAACTTGTACGCGATTAATAAAACAAAGCAGAGATCATACGAGGGTAGATCTAAAAGTTTTGTGAATCGGGAAGGCTGTAAATGCATTAAAATAAGCTGGAAGGGTTTTAGGTTTTCAATATCATCTTCCTTTTTTTATTTCGAAGTTCAACCCCCATCTGCTTAGCTTTTCGCCGCTTAATGTTCGGGGTTTTTCATAGTTTCGGCATATTTCTGTATTTCTGATTTAACCGGTGACTATTCCTTGATCAAAACTTTTCAGTAAAGGTGTTAAGCCTATCACGAGTCCGCAGATAACATAACACAAAGATAGCTTCATCCTCCTCGATCACAAAACTATAGTATCTTACCTTGTAATTGAAGATATTTTTGTGCAACCAGGTACGGCATTCAATGCAACTTATTTCAGTTAGCAAGTACTACATACATACGTGTATATATAGGACTATACACATCTATATCCATATAAATATATACAGGCATATGTAAAGTACTTGAGTGCACCATTTAGTGTGAAGTCATCCCATTCTTATGCCAACAAAACATCTCTATGGGCCATGGTTTTCATACCTCGGCAGCAGTTGCTGTTTATACTTCAAAAAATAAGATACTCATAAGTATGTACATGTGTACGAATATGCACAAGTCTAATCTCAGCATGTACTCGTGTTGTATATCTGCCTGTTGAGACTTGGTTGAGATTTATTGCAGCTTGCTGGGCAATAGTCATAACCAACCACTGGCCTCCACCAGTCTCCGCTATAGCACATGTCAGTCAGTGCCATTGCCAAACAAGTCTGTTGTTTTCTGCTATGTAATATATTTATGTACATACGAGAGTACATGTGCATGCACATGCTGCAATGTGCGTCTAAAATTAGCAATGTTAGCAATTTTGCCGCATCAGCATCAGCAACACAGTAACACCAACAGCGGGAAGAAATGACAGCCATTCTCGTTTTGCATATTTTTGTATGAAATATTTATGCAACTTGGCGTTTATTCGAAAATTTTAGCATTCTTGTTGTTTT